CAAAGTATACACAAAGCCTACACAAAACTAAAGAATTAGGTTATACAATCAAACATCAATTAAGAAAAAATTTCGAAATCAGTGGGATATACACCGGCTCCAAAGTCAGTTATCAATCAATACTAAAGTACAGATTTACAACTTTATTGGAAATTCGTATATTTGTACATTTATGTACTACTAAGACAGACCGCATTTAGGTCCTGAATTCACTCATCAACATTAAAGAGCAAGTGCAGATCATTGGAAATTCATACATAACATTTCTGTGCTTTCAAGACTAACCAGATATTGGTCCCGCAACCTATATCTAGCCATAATGTTAATGAGTATTAACGACCAAGTGCAGATCAACTCATAGGTCACATGGTCTATATCTGGCCAAAATGTTGAAAAGTGTTAACGAGTAAGTGGAGAACAAAATCTTTGTTTGAACTTTATATATATAAGGAAACGGAACAGAGCTACTAGTAAATGGGAAAAGCAAGTAAATATAATAGTTTTTTCTAATAATATACAGTGTCATTAAACCTCTACTCTGGAATAGTTTAGATAGACCAAATTTCCCTTATTATTATCTTTTCATTAATATATAAACTTGGGATTTATATTCTTCTTTTCTAATAGAACAGATTATAACGTAATTGTCACTTTAGTTCCCTACGATGTTAATTTAAGCCAGACTATTCACAAGACTATTTTCCAAACATGATTTATAAGGATCGATTTCTAGAAAGAATACTACTGTTGTCTATGCAGCTTATAACAATAACACCTAAATGCATTATGAGATTGAATTAATTAAAAAAAAATTGTGCGAATCGAAATTATAAAAAGATGGATTAGTCACAGCGTCAAATCCCAATCCCGATTTTAAAGAATCGACTTTTACAAAGAAAACCATTATTGTCTAATTAATTCTTAACAATAACTATTATATGCTTTTATTGCAAATCCTTATAATCAGTAATAATATCATCTATGGTATATACTAATGATGGTTCTTATTGTTACTAATGTAACCTGAACCGACCGTGCTAGTTTTGTCACTGTTAGAAGGTAAAAGCGATATTGGAACGTTTAGAAAGACGAGTGACATCGGGATCTAGATCTTACAGCTCTTAGAACTACTGACGTTAGTATGTTGTTCCATGGAAAATGAAATTCAGATCACAATAACTAATGCCTTTTTGAGAGGATATAAACCAAATCACTACAGAAGGGATTTACATGCAGAATATTAAGTTAAGTTTTAATGATAAACAAATTAAAATACTTTTAGGGAAACACATGTTTAGTCCCTTGTCGCAATATACGTAAGCGAAATGAAAAATGTAAATGTAGTAATCCCTGATTCTAAATATAAATTATGGAAAATAACTCTGACTTCAATACAAATAATAAAAATAAAATAATTTAATAACTTCTGTCAATAAAAACCCTACTATCTTATCTATTTAATATTTAATTATGAAATTTTTGTTTATTTTTAATATGTATAAATATATATATATATCTACTAAATACTAAAGTTGATGTTAAGCAATCAATATAGAGTGCCGTATAGAAATTCTTATGCATGTGTTAATTAAAACACCTCGTGGCATAAGTTTTTTATTTCCTAAAGTCATGAGGTATGATAATATAATTTAGTGAGATTAAGATACATTAACGTAATTATAAATAATAATATTTAATTTCCTTATTAGTTTAAATAACATCAATATGTAATAATATATTACATAAGTTTCGTTTTAAATGAATTAAAATTTGATTTTTATTCTGATTAATGACCAGAATATACTTTTTAAGGTTTCTTAGAAAATTTCGTTGAGATTGATTTTTAAAATTTATCTGATCATATCACGTGCTCATTTTTATATACCCAGCACATAATTTATTTGAGGTTACTTCGGATTATTTGCTTAATTTTATTAACAATAAAAAAATGTATTTACCTAACAATAAAGTTGAGTTATTTTTTTTACTACAAATTATTTATGTATTTTTTTTAGTAAAAACACAATTGTAAAAACTTTTATTTGCTAAAAGAAAATATTTTTGTTTACAAAAGCAGCTTTTGTTTCTTTGCGGTTTGTTAATTAAAAAATTAATATTTTAAATGCATTTGATATATTATTTAAATTCTCTCTAAGATTTAGAGACTAAAACTAATAGTAAGTAAATATACTTTATATGCAGATATATTTTCATACCCGATGATTCATGTGGATGTAAAGGCCATAGAGAAACAGAAAATATATCCATAAACTACTTCTTAGATCCTCTTAAAAAAATCAATTAAATAAGTATCCAACTACCAATAATAGGATGCAAGTAACAACCGGTCTAGCAGAAAGACCTTACTGTGATCCAAGCCGGCCCGTAGTCATACTACTAATAAAAGAAAATAGCTAATTCTTATAGCATTGATAAAACTAACAAGGATTTCGGACCAAAAATAATTCGGAATAAGTATAGTAATTGAATAAATGGGCACAGTAATTGTATCAATTGTCATTCTTATCCAAAAAAATGTCTACTGATAATAATTAATTTAGACTTACATTATTAGAAAAGAATATAATTAATAAATAAACAGTGACGCAACAAATATATTTTCTTTCAATAACATAAGAAAAATTTAAGCCTTACATTTTTTAGAACCATTAGAATTCACTTAGAACAACTGGATTCCAGATATGACGTTTTAACCACATTTTTTGACTACATGAGGGAGTATACCATAAGGAGTAGTCCCTAGCTTATGGAATAACAAACTTTATAGTTTTCAAGCAGATCCCCAAATAATTCTGTCAAATTCTAAATTATTTATTAGCTCATACAATCCATCTGTGGAGTACTGAATAAACCAAAAATATTGTTTACACAACCAAAAACATTGTTTTACACTATTTTTATGGTTTCTTCAGTGCTCCACAGATCATGGATAGTTTTTCACTAAGCTTTCTGTTGATTGTTTCTTCCAGAATCATAGAAAATATATAATATTATAAATGTTCAATATCTTCTAATGATTACTGAATATTACAAAACACGACACAACAATAATATTTCCTCTATATACCTATATATATACAGTATATCAAAGATAAATTGTGAAATTTTACAAACTAGAAATAATAAGTTTTGTCTAAAAGTAACAAAAAATGGTAACAAAAAGAGAAAAAACTCTTTGGAATCTTGTCTTAAAACGACAAATACTTTTTGTCCAATATATGCTCAGTATTGTTTTGGTGAAATCTCTAAATATATGTTTTACAAAGATATATTCTGGAATAGTATAATATAAAAATAATAGCTTTAGTCGCAAAGACTGAAAAGTAATATGTTTTTAATTTTGACGAAAAACGGTAAGTACTTTTTGCCCAATCTAATACAGAAAAACTTACATAACTCGAACTTCTATAACTCGAATTTTCTATAATTCACAATAAATAGAGTGCAACAGGGTTTAGCGAGCAAATTACATACAAATCCAAAAAACTCTAACTCAAAATCTCCATAAGTCGAACCTTTTCTTTATAAAATAGGACTTAAACTCCCATAAATTGAAAAATCATTCGAAAAATAATTTTTTTTAGTGAATCTAAAAAAATTAACAGAAAGAATATAGAAGTTATTTATTAAAACGGTAATCACTTTTTGTCCAATTCAATCTTAATAAAATTCATAATTTAAAAGCTGTTTTTTAGTGGATCTAAGTAATTAAACGGGTTTTAACAAAATTGTAATGTTATAATAATTTATTTTAGTATTTTTAAGAAAAATCTAAATATAATTCAAGTGTTTGTGAAGACTATTGAGTTTAACTTTCTATTAAAAACATTTGTTGACCTAAAACCATAACTTCTGAAGACATTTGAAATCTAAAACACTTGTTCCTTATGTACATATTGATATAAAGTTCTAGATATACATATATATGTATATATCAAAGCAAATAATCTTATCAGAAAATAAGCAGAAAATATGATGGTCTTGGAATGAATTTAAGCATTGCACATCATCGCAATAAAAACCTCTAAACTCCGCTGTTATGGAATGATTTGCTCAAGGCTTATCAGTGTAGACAACTTAAGTCCACAATGTGATAGCGAACGTAAGACAGTACATGTGATATCATCTATATCACATGTTCACAGTTGCTAAATGTCTGTAGCACGAGTTGAAAGCCCCATTATTTTCACATACATACACACATACATACATGTGTGCAATAATTGTGGCTTGGAATTTTTTTTCAAATCGATTCGACAGCTTAGAAGTAACAAAACTTTAAGCGAAATTAAAACAAAAGTTGTGAGTAAAAATTGGGTCTTGTGACTGGGTTGGCGTATGTAAAAAACGAGCTTAACCTTTAAATTTATAATTGCGCTTATTCATGGCATTCAATAAATTTTATTAACAATATTTCATTTTTTTTTCTCTCCGCTTTCGCTCTCTTGGCTTACAACACACAGAAGCAATGACAATTCTACTCTCCAACATAAAATGCAGTAGTCAGTCACCACACACACCACATACAATAAAACCTCACTTTACTTTTACAAATACAAATTAAAAACAATGAGAAATAAATATAAAAAATATAAAATAAAATAAATTAATTTTTAAAGCTGAAATACAATATTTATTCATTGGAGTTGAAAGGGTTTTTCTACAATTTTGATTAGTAACATTACTGGTCACGCGCACTCAATGGAATTTTTTTGTTGCTCCCCACACATACGACCACACAAATTAGTTTTGCGTGTATTGAATTTTTCGCTGCTGGCATCCCCCACCCCACCCACTATACGTAGTACTATACTGACATTATTTTACCAAATTTTCTTTTCTACAACACACTTTCACGTTACATATATATATGTAAATATATATATATACATCAAAATATTCGATTTTTCTTACGGTTAAGGAATTAGATTTATATTTGAAAGAAAAAAAAAATTTTTTTTTTATATTGTCAAACTTACCACTGAAAATAATGGCTGAGGCTGCTCCCATAACACCGAAGAAGGGTCCATAGATTGGGTTATCGCTTGGTGCATCTGCCATTTTTGTGTTTGTTTTATTTGTTAAAGTTTTCTACAAAAAGAAAAATTTGTGGTATTTTGCGTTAATTGGTTTTGGTTGATTTTCTTGGTTTTGGATTTGGTTTAAGCTGCTTTTGCTTTGCTGAGTTGGTGCTTTCTATATAAATTCTTATAAGAAACTAATTGCGCTTCACACTGTACAAAACGAGCTTTTTGCTCCAACTGCTGCTTTCGACTGTTATTTGCTCCGTTACGTTTTGCGATTTTACTTTGCCTTTTTCTGCACTTTATTGAATTTTTTTCTTGTTTTGCTTTATCTACAATCAGTGTGTGTACAACAAAAATAAATTATGAAAGCCTTCTCAGAAGAGTTGCCAATTGTGAAATGTGCACAAATATTGTAGAATTATAAAATATTTTGAAAATTAAATCAACTAAACTATATTATGAAAAAGTAAAATTTTATTTTAAATTTTGAAATTCAAAATAATTTCTACAATTTTCAATATTTGACACAAGCCACGTAAAAGTCTCCTTTTTTTTATTAGAAGCTATCTTTCTCACACTTTTGTATTATATATCCTTTTCATATATACAATGTCGTAGCAAATAATATATATTTTTATTATAAAACTCTTTTATTAAATGCAGCTATTATTTGTTTAATTATTATTTTATGTAACACTCACTTGACTAAATTAATAAATTTATTGTTCAAAAACAAATATTGTTTTTGTACTAATATAAATTGTTAACTACTGTGGCGTAGAAATTATTTCAGAACTTGGAGATGCACGCTCGTTCGGCTCGGTCGCTGGCAACACTGTGGTGGCACACACTTGATCAGTTGTAGAAAGTTAATTTCTTGCTCGTTTACTCGTTGTCAAACTAATGTTTCCGTCACTTTTATCAAATAATATTCAATTGTATGTACCTTTCTTTCTTTTTTAAGGTTTTTCAAACCAATATTCAGTATTTTTTCGCAGATGTCAAATTGTATTCAGTCATGTGACCAAACGTCAAGTCGTAATTTTAGAAGCTGCACAATGATTGGTTGATTATCTAGCTAATTAGAATCAAACTACCAATCACGTAGCAGCTTCTATTTTTTCCGAAGATGACATTTAAAAAAAATGCCAATTCGCAATAGTGCAAATTATTTCAAAAATATTTCCTACAGATTTTAAATGATATATGTTATTTAACATTAAATTATTAATATATACTGTGAAATTGATTTTATTAATAATGTATTAATATGAAAGTGGGTTTCAAAAAACCCTAAGCGAATATGCTAACTATTTTTATATTAGTATGTTTACGTTAGGTGTATTCTTTTGACATGAATGCTTCAATAGAACAACTTCTAGTTGCTTAAGAATAACTTGGCATCGCTGTCTAAATCAGTAAACATATAACAATTAAAAAAATATTAAACAAATTTGTGGTTAATAAATACATATAAATACAATGTCTGCAGATAATTTTATAAAAAATTAAAATATGTATAAAATGAATGACACAAAAAGTTATTGTTGAGCATTTTATATTGTCTTTCAATTTATATAAAAGTATACATATTTATAGGCTTTGTTCATGATAGCAGAGAAAAATATTGAAATAAGAAAGATAAAAAGAGAGAGGCGCATTGAACAAATATATGAAATTTTTTATAGCTCCAGCACTGCAGAAAACAATACGAAATTATTGAAATTATTATTGAAATTATTCGAAAACAAATTACGAAATTAATTTTTTAAAATATTTAAATTTATACATCAACATTCTTAATAGCTATAAATAATAAAAAAACTGTTTTGTCATGTAATTGGAATTTTCCATTTTCTTTCAAAAATCATTCACAATAGATCAGTTACAAGATTTAACACTAATGTAATGCGATTGACTTACTCGTAAGCAGTTTCGGGAAAGTGGATTTATTTTTATGAATTTTGTTTTTGCTTTGCATATTAATTTTTAAGCGATACGTGTTCTATTGAAGCAATTTCTTCAAAAGAATACATTAATTGAAAGTGACAACAATGTTTTTTATTTATATGAATTTAAATAATTTATTTTTTACTTATTATACACTAAAGATAGTCTACAAAGTTGTACGAAATATATATAATGTAAATAATTTTTTTATAAAAATTAACATATAATTAAAATACTTAACACAAATTAATAAGTGTAAGTTATTATTTAAAATTTTTTTTTATATTTTTATTTTATGTGTTAAATAAACGACCTTAGTCCGGTAATGGGCAAAAAAAAATAATTAAAAAAATATTTATAAATAAATTGATGAATTGCTTTAAAAAGATGTACAATAATTTTATATGTTGGCATATGTATAGGAACACAAAATCAGTAAATATTATCCAAGGAATATTCTTTGACATTAACTGAATGAGAAGAAGAAGCACTTAGCGTTTGATTTAAAATTTTAAATCAGCTGTTTTATATAAATTTTAAAATTTTTGTTTAAGACTTCTGGTCTTTTAATATTTAAAATTTTACGTTAATTGTTTATCATAAATAGTAAATTATAATTATAATTTATTATTTAGAATTTATTGATTCTTTAAAATGAAACGAAAATTTCCCGTCACTAAACGTTCATCTTCAAAAAAATCTAAAAAAACTGACAATGGTAAACTCCCAAAAACAGCTCATAAATAGTTTTTTTTGTTAAGGTTCTTCATAATTTCAGGTGAGCAACACCAGTCTAAAGCAACACTAGATTTCCAACCGCAGCCCGAATTCGTCGATGTTGCTTGCAAAGAAATAAATGCGGAAGACACAGCAACCTGGGTTAAATCTCGTTTACAATATGAATTAGAAAACGCTCTTAGTGACGATGAAGACGAGTACGAAATAGAAGCATTGTCAAGCGCAGGATCGAGGTAATAAAAAATGGTCACATACTGAACTTCTAAAAAGGTTTTGCATTAAGTTTTAGGAAGTTTGATGATGAGGAAAAGTGTATAAAAGTAGAGTATGCGCTTGAGAGTCAGTGCGTACTTCCTGAAATGGACGAACATAATAACGAGGATGAATTACTTATTAAGGATTTAATTATAAATAAAAGTATGTTTCGTTGATTACATAAAATGAAAATAAAAATTATTTTAAATTTATGTAGATTCAAGCAAAGCTTCGTCATCTGCGTTAAATACACCTGCATCATTACAAGCTGGGAATAGCAAAATAGTGGAGAAATTGGAAAAACTTCATGTTGAACGCAAAGGTATAGAAAAAATGTACTTAGAATATATGCAAAAGCGAGATGAAAACCGAGCGAAACGTGCTCTGGCGGTAAATAAACGCAGCCGTGACAAGATTAACGAAATAAAATCTTTAATGGCAGAGATTTCAACGTTAAATGAGAAATTAGAGTTAGAGAATTAATATTTATATTCAATTTTTTTTTTTAAGTTTAAACTCAATTTTTGATCTCATATAAATAAAATATATTGTATAAAAAAAATTAAGATAAGTTAAGATTCAATAATAAAATGTATCATATTTATAAATAATATCTACATTTTTGTTTTTAGAGAATTGCATCCATAATCGCATTGCAATGAAGATTTTCATTTCGTTCGTTTCTACCGGTAGGCTCCAGTTTACCTACTTCATATAGAAACTCCAAGCCATAATAAAAGGGCATACTTATTGGGGTCAACTCTCAACTTGTAGTAATACAGAGTTACTCCCGTTTTGTGGTGCCGAAAGTAAGCAAAAATAAAATATATTCATAATTGAGATTCCAAAACAATTTTAATTGGAATAAATTGTTTCAAACTTGCTATTACGTAGAAATATAAAACATCATTCAAATATCCTCGACGTAATACGCTACAATGCTCGATCATTTTAAATAAATTTATGATGTCCAATTATCATATAACTGGTAACTATTGCCAGCTCAAAACGTGATGGTTGATTATTTTCAAAACGTGGAGAATTTAAGAATATTCCACATAAACAAAAAGTTTTGGAAAACCCCACAGAGGACGAAGCATTTATTTTAATAAAATAACACTTTTTGTTGTTGTTAACTTTAATTGAATAATTTTAATCCAAACCCAAGCAATGGAAACTGGGCAATATTTTTATACTAAATCTAAAAACTCAGTTGAATACCAAGCATCACAGTAAGAAAAATCGATGCTTATAATCGATACGCTTATATCTAAATAACTCTAAATAACACATATATTTATAATTTAGTGTTTATCTAATGCTTTTAGTAAAAGTTCATTTAAATTAGCTATTAAGCTATGTGGATCATCGGTAAGTCCAGCAGCTGCCATTGCATTCGCAAATAATTGTTCGGTGAGTAGACCAGCTAGTTCTGGATCAGAATCACGCAGTTTGAATAATTTCTTAATGATTAAATGTCTATATTAAGAAGAGGAAAAAGGAAAGTTAGAAAATAATACACAACAATTAATAAACATAAAGAATGAACTCACTTTGGATTAATCTCCAATTGTGGTTGAAGTATTTGGTAACGATTTTCTTCTGGTAATTGATGACTTTGTGTGCGTATAAAATGTCTAGCTGCACCCATTTCCTCAACAGTTATCACACAAGGATGATTATCAAGACGTGTGGTAACTTTAACATTGACCACTTTTCCACTTAATTTATTCGATAACCAATTACTTAATTCCGTGGCTTCTGTAGGTCTTAAACTATCTTCACCATAATCAGTTATACTCTCATCAGATTTATTTTCTCGCATTTCTTTTTCAACTGAAACTAAATTCTTTCCTTGGAATTGTCTTAGTTGCAATAAAACCAATTCATCGTATTGTTCATAGCAGAATAAAACTTCGACGCCACGCTTTTTGAGGCTCTCATAGTATGGTGAACATTCAGCTAATGTACGATTTGGTGCGGCTAAATAATAGATGTCCTTTTGTTCGGTATTATTTTTACAGTAGTCTTCAAGTGAAACTCGTTTATCACCAGGAGATTTTGACGATTCGAAACGTAGCAGTTTGCCTATATTCTCTTTAAGGCTTTGATCATGGGTAGTTACTATGCCTTCTTTCAAAAATAGACCATAGTCCTTATAGAAAATCTCATAATCCTCAATTTGTTTTTTGGAGCGTTCATGTAAAAATTTTAATATGCGACTGACTAGCACATCTGATAATTTTCTGAAATAATATATAATATAACAATATATAATATAATAATATATAATATAATAATATATAATATAATAAAAATAATGCCATAGTAAAAGCAATTGGTTTAGACACAGTTGTTCCAATGAGAGTTTTTTATCTATCGAAAAGCAAATTGTTCAGTAAGAAGGTTTTGAGGAGGCGAGATAAATTTCCCCTATGGTATCACAACTGCTCTTGGTCTATGTAAGTCCAAGTACTTTAGGACTCGCAAGACTTATGTAGAAGGGGTGGATTCGAGTATAAATTAAAATCAACCCGGGTCCAGACGGAGTAACCTTGCCACTTCGTTTGGGTGAGTTCAAAGGTCGATTGGACGAAAGTTCGTTTATACAATAAGGCCAGAAAACAGATAAGCTACGTCAGGGAGGGTAGAACTGGAGTTAGTGCACACGTGAGGAATACACTTGTTTATGTGTGACAAGTAACTGTTTAGCACGTGGCTATATCCTGATTTCAATTGAGCTAAGACAGTTCCTACTGCACAAGGAAAACATCTTTCGTCATCTGAAATATTAGGCGGGGGCCATTGAGAAGCTTGCTGTTTGAAAACCGGGATCATAAAGAAAATATTGCTTTGGAGGATGTTGAATGGCACTTGGTCGTTTTCGACGGGTGGCTCCGCAACGTAAATCCGGCCGTTCTTGATACTCATTCCAAGAAGGGGCCACACAAGCAGATCCTAGCAGTCAACAACAAGATGATATTTTTTGGGTATGAAGGGGCAAAACTTTTGCAGATAATTGTTTTTGTAACCCGGGCAGATCTATATGGCAGATAATATGAAAGGAATTAGGTTGGTATATGGTTAAGTAAAAGCAATGTAAAGAAAAGAAGAATTGAAGAAGAAGAAAAGAATTGTGACTATCCTGGGTTAAAGTGGAAGACATTAGTCACTTTTATGGGACGGCATTTAAGATCAATTGGGCTCAAATTGGTGTGTGCATTGGGACATGGATTTTACTAAATTTATAGAAAATAATATTCTTTAATGTCATCATCTATTAAATTTACGATTATAACTTACTTAATCAGTGAACTGTTTTGTAATAGTTCTCTACTCAAATTTAGAGGTATATCTTCTGAATCGACGACACCTGTATAGATAAATAAATATTTGAAAATATTTCTGAATTTTTTATAAAAAAAAAAATACATTTTTACCTTTAATAAATCTTAACCATTTTGGTAGCAAATTGTCGGTTTTTGATTGAATTAGAATCTTGCGGGAATAAAGTGCAACACCAATATCTCTATCTTGTGCTAAGTCAAATAAGCCAGGTTTTCCTTCTGGGAAATACAACAAAGCTCGAATGCTTAAAGGAACATCGGTCTAAAATTGGATATAATATTTTAAATATTTAGATCTGAAATATTAAAAAAAATCCTGAAAATAATAATGCTTACTTTATAGTGTAAAGTGAAACGTGGTGTACCGTATGTATTAGCAATGAAACGATAAAATTCATTATGCTGTTCTTGTTTGACATCCTTAGGTTCCATTAGCCAGACGGGACTTACTTCATTGGCGCGTAAACCATTTAAATAAATGGGTGAACCCACAAAGTTGCTATATTTTTTAATGACCGCTGTAAATCAAAATGAAAAATTAACATAGTATTTATAAAAACTTAAGAGTTTTATTATTTTTTAAGATTATTATTTATTGTTTTCTGCAGAGTTGTAAAGTGGGATCTGTCAGTAATTTTTGATAGCTTATTAATCGATATTTAAATTAGAAGTTATGGGAATTACTTTAATAAGCTCCTACATTGAAGTTTTTGATAAGGATAAATATCATAAAAAATTCAACTGCCTTTTTATTTCGAATTAATTTTCATTAAGTTCCAAACTTTAAATACCAGAGAAAGTATGAAAAGCCACCACAATAACTTATATATTAACATGAATGTGTTCATACCAGCTTCTAGTAGTACTTTTTATATTTATAATGCAGTTCCTAAGATGGTCTAATTTAGTTATAACATGAGATGAGATAAGAAATGCACTAAGGACTAATGAGGTTCTAGACTTCCAGAGTCGAAGTTTAGAATAATTATATTTACTATTCCCTGACCTATTTTTTATTATTCGCACAGCTTTTTCTATCAAAAAGAACAGATTTTAAAGGAAATAATTTTTTTAACCGTTTGTAAGACTGCAAATAGGTAATAAAGAAAGATCTATTAATTGACAAAAACTCAATAAAATGGAGCTAGTGTAACTGTAGGGATTTGTTAAGAAGAGTACCTGTCGCGCATAAATATTTCAATTCCCAGTTTTGTAGTACTATTAAGATCTATTAAATTATTAAACTCTACAGAATGGATGAAGTGCATCTGTAGGGATTTTTTAAGGATACTATTCGCGCATAAATGCTTTGATTAACAATTTTGCATTACTTCTTTACACGACGTTGCTATCTGTTCTCAGCTTTAATACTTATACTAATTTAAACCCTATTGTTCTTTACATCTAATGTTGTTAAATATTTTAAGTGTGGTTATCTATCTTAGAGTTTCTGTAGAACTTCATAAACTAACCTTTAATACGTTCTTCATCTGAGTACTCGCGACATTCTGGCTTAAGATGAATTACAATTTTAGTACCAAGTGCTACACCCTCTGCTTCTTGTATTTCATAAGATCCGCTGCCATCTGTCGACCAACGAAAACCAGGAGAGTTCTCCTTTGAGGATCGTGTAAACACTTCAACTTTATTTGCCACCATAAAAGCGGAATAAAAGCCTACACCAAATTGACCAATAATATTCGATGAATTTTCTTCGCTTTCACTTTTCTTCTTAATTTGTTCCAAAAATTGTTTAGAACCACTACGTGCAATTGTGCCCAGATTATTGATAAGTTCCTCACGTGTCATGCCAATGCCAGTATCCTATTGGATTAAGTAAAGAAACAATTAGAAAACTTAATTCTTAAAAAAAGGGTTTTGTGCACTTACTTGTATAGTCAACTTCATTGCTGGTTTATCGGTATGTAAGTGTATTTCCATAGCACGATCAGCATTTTCATAATCACTTTGCTCATCTCCAGCAGTTTGTATGGTGTAGCGAAATTTTTCCAAAGCATCGCTAGCATTCGAGATCAATTCACGTACAAATACTTCGCTTTCAGAGTACAAAGAACGGGCAACAATATCCAAGAGCATACGTGTTTCTGCTTGGAATTCGTGTTTATTCGCGTCTCCAACACCTTTTTCGGTGTCACGTATAATGTTGTGTTTCTGTGGCTCCTCATCCTGTTTGACTTCTTCAGGAGCGGCTGTATTTACTTGACGTACAAAATTAAAATCTGCAATGGAATTTATATGAGGTATTCATTATTTACAAAGTTCATTAATTAACTAATAATATTTATACTATATTAGTAGTGACACTTACTTGAGAATGCGGGAGTCGATCTGTACGGCACGTTTTGTGGTGTTACGTTTGAGTTCAGGGCAGTCAAACGTAATGCTTGACGGTTGATCCTTGTCGCCTTTTGCAGAATATTAAAAGCTCGAGAAATGTATGACATGTTTAATTTTTGTTTTTATTTATTAACACTTTAACAAGAAAAAATAATTTATATATAATATAAATTGAAATTTAAGTGCCGAATTATATTGAAGTTTCTTTCTTATTGCTGCACCAGCTGGGTGCAGAATAAAATGTGCGCCTTAAGTCAGGGTTGTTCAAAAAATATGTAAAGAGTAAATATTTTTTAATCAAATTGTTATAAATTTTGTGTTTCGATTAAATACTTTTAGCATTGTTTAATTAGTTTATAATTTGTATACAATGCTTTTCAGTAGGAAATATAAGCTGATATGAATTAATTCATATTTAACCTCGTTTTTAATTGGCAAGTCTTGATTTGCTTTTGATCTGTCATTTTTTCTCGAATTTTGTGGTCCAACATTGTTGACAGCTACACATATATTAACAAATTGGTATTGCTTGTTTAATTCATTTAACTTTCAATTCGCCAGAAAACAAAAGTAGAGTTTTCACGAGGCACTGGTTATTGGGTTATGTGGTTATAAAATTAAAAATAGTCTATGTGCACCGTAAACAGACTGTTCTGCAGGTTTTCTGGTTATTTTCATACAATCAGCTGTTCTGTTCACTAAAAATGGGTTATAAATAAGTTATATGTATATTTTTATATATCTTATATATTTAATTTTAAAGGTTTGTTTGCAAACGAAACCAGCTGTTATTGATGTCAACTTAAAATTCACAATTTGTCGTGCCAAATCAAATATTCTTTTTCTTTTTGAATAATTTTGTTTTATATTAAAAAATTTATTTTGAAATCTCAGGACTTCTTCTGAAAGGATTTTACGTATTATTCCAAAGTCATTATATTTAACGTTGTTATATAAATTTATTATAATTGACTTCTTACCTTATAAATGATATTTCCAATTCACATTTAGGATTGCAGCACTTTCTCAAAGATCAATAACTTAAGTCCAGATCGATTTCAGGTTTATTTTGTAAATAACTTTTTTATTATCAATAAAATGTCTTGTCTCTCACCCAGGCTATGAAATTATTATTATTATAGTAGTGCCGATTACAAAAGATTTTGGGACTCGCATAGTTCTATAGCCCACTATATTATGACTTATTCTACCATTTCATTGACCTTCAGTAAATCAATTGATTTCTATTAAAAACCTTAACAATTTTATAAAGTAGACTGTATCCATCTCTGTTAATAGCTTAAAGATTTTTATTTCCGAAGACTTAACCTATTGTCTGACGGCTAAAGAAAGTAAAAAAGTTTATAAATGCAGTTTTATGAAAATATATCATCCGAGCTGGAATTTGAAGCCAGAGTATTGAGGTTTCATGGTTTTTATTTTAATTAATTTAAACTGCCTCCTAGAAATAAATTGTGACTAGTTTTCTTTTAAATAATCATAGAGAAATTATTGACGAAGTCCTGATTCGGTAATCAAAGGCAGACCGGAGCCGTCAATAGCAGACTTGGAATTAACCACAAGACACATTAATATTAACGTACACTTTATTATTTAATCCGATTAATTTATTGGTTTTTTTTGTAGATAGAGAGCATTAATACCCATAATGTGCGACTTGAGCCAACTATTAACATCCGCCGGCCCAGATTGCTAACGACTGAAACACCATTCCAGCAATCAGGAAATAAAAAAGTAGAGACGTTTAACATTTACACATCTTCTTCTTATTAGGCACTAAAGTCCAGTGTGAACCTTGGCCCTCTTTTTTTTAAAAAAAGGTTGCGTAGCGGGTGTTTTCTTCCGATGCGAGGCTACTAACTTTGCGATCAACCCCCAACCTAAAGCACCTAAACTTTACAGAGTTTGAATTAATTGATTTATTCTTGATTTTTTTACGAACTTATTATAATGAAAACAATGTCTTATTAAGTTTAATATAATTGTATAAGATAAATAAACCTGCAAAATTATTGCGGTTGATTATTCATATTACATATATTATATATTAAAATATAATATATTATTATTAATTAATATTATTATACTATTGAATAATACTATTGTTATATTATTAATTAATATTATTATATTTTACATTAAAATATGATTTTCGATTCAACACAATTTAGCAAACAAAAGCTATATATATATTAAATTAAAATTTAAATAAAGTGAGAATTATAATTTGTAAACTCCTACGTAAAGCAACATAAATTAAATCAGAGTCATAACATAAACAACATGACAGAATAAAATAATTTATTATAAAACAAACTTTTTCTATGAATATTCAGTCACTTACGACAATTTAATATTGAATATTAATCATTGCAATGATTTTAATTACAATAAAACTTTATAATTAATTCAATATAATAATAATGCAAACATAATAGCAGTTATTGAAACAAATCTGTACGAGCCTTACTTTTAGAGGACGTTTTTATATTAAAATAAAATTATTTAAACAATCTCATTACCCAACCATGTTACTTTATATAGAACATCAACTTTAAATAAAGTAAGAATTATAATTTGTGAATTACTATGTAAAAAAAAACTAAATGAAATGAGAATTATAATATGAATAATATGTATAATATGGGTGTCAGTGTGTAAAAATGACAGATCTTTCGCTTTTGCACAAGTCAAATTTATATTTCCAAGTCATATTATAGCACAGAATATATATTTTCTTTTGGAACAGATAGTTTGTATTTCGATCCATTGATTGTACTTCAAACTTTATCCGCTTATATGTTCTGATCCAACAGTGAGTCCAATGTACGCATTGAATGTTGAATAATGTTTTTATTCTTCGGGTTTTCCTCGTATTTCATCGTTGGGAGTTATTCTTAGAAGTGTTGGTGTTGATTATTAGAAGTATTGATTTTCGTGGCATTAGCATTGCTAAGTCTATCAAGTCAGGTTGTGTTAGCACAGAATAAATGATTTTCATACAAAATTTGACACTTCATTTATCAAGCAGATAAATGTACACGTTTATAAGGTTACCAACATCAAATCTCATCAAATCTCAGAATGGTTCCTCGGGGAGATATGCAGATCTGAGGTCAATTATTGCTTAGTCTGATGAAGTGATAAACAATAATTTAGTCAAGGTGTAGAGATGGGTTTTAAAGAAACCTCGAGTTAAAAAAGAGTATAAGTGCTTAAGTGCACTAGCTCAAAACAGCTTCAACCTAATAAGGTTTATAAGGCATCTATCAGTTCAGATGAGTATTCCTTTTGTATTGACAACAGATAAAATTATACGATATAAATTTATTTTGTAAAATTTTCGTGTAAATTTATTAAGTTTATGTAAACGATTTTTTGTACAAAATTTGACACTTCATTTACCAGGCAGATAAATTTATAAGTTTTTTAAGGTTTATAAGTCATTTATCAGTTCAGATTAGTACTAAATTATACAATCCACTTTCTTATAAGTCTGCTCCTATGCCTTACTTGGTCAAAAGAAAAACCCTAAAGCCACTTAAACCTAAGTCAAATAGATCTATTTATTGGTGAGAATACAGTATTTGTAAATAAGCTAGAGTGTAGAAAATTAAGAATGCTTAAGTAGAGTTTATATATATTATACAAACTATCTGGGGATATAATTCCATACAAAAATTGAAATTATAAATTTGATCTCCTACTCAAAATTTATTTCATACCAAATTTATGCAATAAAGAATTCATAAATAAATGCTCTATCGATTAACTTCGAAGGTAATGTCTATATGAAATGCTCACCTTGTTTCGCAGCTTAAAAATTAATTGTTTTTGTAATTCCATTATTAATCATTTTCATTTTTTTATTAGAAGTTGTTAATTCATTTATCAAATTTTACACATTAATTCATAACAAATTCAATTTGTTCTATACTCAATCCCACTATAAACGTGCTAATTCTTAAGTAAATATTTACTCTTTCCATTATCATGAAAGTCAGTGCCAACAATTATTAAAAATATTTTAAAAAAATATTTAATCTTTAACACATGACTAGAACTTAGTTATATTATAAATATAATTCAATTAATTCAGTAAGTTAGTGGCATTCTGGAAGTGAGTGTCGATAGATGTACATACATTCAGAATGTAGGGAGAAAGAAAGGTAGAGTTAATTGGCGTAGAGCTCATAGATATGTAACCATATTAGATTGAATCCTTAGAGATGATACTTTCAATAGTATATCTTACTTAAGATGTATCTGTCTGTCATTAGCGCATTTTAAAAGAGAGTTCAATATATAGAATTATAGCCACCCAAAACTTGTAGCACCAAAGAATATTAGTCGAGTTTTTAAGTTCAAAATTCTACCAATAAGAATTTTATGTCCTAGCTAGGCGTGTCAGAGTCAAACTTGCAAGGGTTCCTGAACATAGGGATATCTCGTACAATTGCAGGAGGGACGAGCTTGCCAAAACAGGCAGCCTTTTCCCTGACATTCACTTCTCCGATATTGGCATCCCACTTTTAACAGTTAAACTGGCAAATCAACAAAAATATCACAGCAAAACTGAACAAACAAATCCTGCTGTGAGATCGCTAGATTGACATAAACGTAACAGTTAGCAACTTTAACTAAACCGTAACCTGCTCAGCACTACAGCATCGGTGCTGATGGATCACTGCATAACACGTAGGCATACTGTGAGGCTTAGTCTACCCTAAAATGATTCTTGTCGTGTTTGTGACTCTGAGGCTGAGAAACAAACTGTGCTCCATATCATGTATTAGTGCCCATCTTTACCTAAGAGAAGATCTAAAATCTTCGGGACCGTTATCGTACCGAATGACCTGCAAAAACCGAAAACCTGGACTTATTTAGATTTAAAGAATTGTCAGATCTTTACCTAATGGAGAAGTCATTTTCTTTCGGCGTTAATCACATATTGACTTCTAGTCTGTGTATGAACAAACTCCAATAATGTAGCATTAAAACGGGCCATTATTTGGGCTCAAATGGGCTTAGGAGACTTTAGAAGACTAGATTAAAAATGTTTCGATTTTTAATCTATAAATCTTCTTCGATAATAAATTTATGAAAATAGGTTTAAATTAAATGTTCATAAATCTTCCGTTCTATAAGGGACTTATCTAATATAAGATGAAGTGTCCATATATTGAAAACTGAAATGACTTTTGTAGCGCCTTTCCTAAACACCACTAACTATAATTGTTAT